TCTCCCCTCGCACTTCCGGTTTCATCTCGGCCCAGTTCCCACGTTCTGTTGCTCGGGGTTTCCCCCATGGTATCATGCGGTTTTTCTTGTATTTATCGCGCGTTGCGGCCCGGATATCGCGCACTGCGCACCGGGGCGCCGACCCCGTCTGTGGGAACTCGGTCGCGACTTGATGCAAATTGAAGCTATCCTCACATGTTGCACCACCCCCATCTCAATCACCACCAACACCACTCGCTGCATCTGGAAAGCACCCGATTCCATCGTCTAGGTCGACGATCTGGTCGGGGGTATTTTTGTTGGATTTCTCCCGTTTTCCCTGCCCGATTTGACTTACACCGAGTATCGCCCCTTGCCCCATGGCGATGTCGTCACGCGACCGGTGAAAACCAGTGCATCGTCTTTTCCACGTGCCCACGACCACGCCGTTGCTCCGCCTCTGCCTTCCGCTCTCTTGCCATCTCATGGTCATGATTCCAATCGAATACCGAATTTTTTTGGTCCGTTTTGATGCCCATATCATGCCGGCAGCGTCAATGGGATCTCCCCGGAGATGTGTCACGATGGAAGCTATTCACATTTGACCAGCGTCCTCGCAGAGGAACGACTGCCATCACTTCCGGCGCGTTTCCGATGACAAAAACACGTGCATCGAGTTTTTAATGCCTCTCGATCCAAATTGCTCACTTTTTTTTTGGTCCATCGTGAGCCTGTTTGTGGCGTGGCTGCGACTTCAAGTATGACGCATGTCTGCCCAAGGTGGAGGAGAACACGTGTATGCTGGTCACCGCCTGTCGACTCGTGCCTACGGACACGTCGCCAACGGCCTGAAACAGACTTGACGTCGACGAAAGAAACGTCCGTCACGATTGGCATGATGGACTAGTTGGATTTGGAGGTATCAGAAATAATTCCCATGGCAAGACTCGGACGCGGCCTTGTCGGAAGCGCTGCAACTGTCAACGAGGAAAGGCTGCATGTCACGTGGTGCCGGTCCCCCATGCGCAGCAACTCGATGACTGACATGCACTTCTAAGCATCGCAGTCAGCTACGTGGTGTTATCCCCTTAATGAGTGGAGCATTTATCCGGCGAAGAGAATAAAAAAAATAAAAAAGGCATACCAGAGGCATTGCTTCTGCAGCTGTGGTGCTCATGGACTGCGGCATGGCTAGACACACGCATTGTAGACCGGAAGGCCAGCGGAGTCAGCGAGGTCCAAATCAAGGTCTCGCATGCGATGCTGCGGGCAACCCGGCCACTCTCCAGATATGAAATTTCATTGAGCTGTATGATAAACAGCATCATCAGGCAGGACATGTGAATATCAAAGACTCGGGATATCTAGTCGTCGGCGTGGGTTGTCGAACAGCTCATGTCAGGGCTGCGCTTTGTTTTGGCCTGCCGACGCGTGTACCCGAGCTCCCCCTTTTGGCAGCCAAACACACCCAGGGCCGACCTCACACGGCATGGGCGGGGAAAACCAAGAAAGTATTGCCTAGATAAGGCATGACAAACGGAAAAAATGGTTTATCTTACCGATGCACTTGAGGACAGCTCTCTGGTGTGCTACCGACGGTAGAAGCGTCCATCGGAGGGGAGGGGGGCGCGCGACGCGTGCAGTCCGGCGTCTGGTCGAGTGCGCTGGACCTGCGTCGCGGCTGCAGTTTGGGGGGGGATGGTGGTAGTTGTCGTCGAGAATTGTGGTCCCCACTCCCTGATCTGGAAGGTGGGGCAGAAAGAAGGTAGCGAACCCGGTTTAGAAGGAAGGAAAGAAAGGAAGAAAAGGAAGCTATGACCACCGCTCCCATTGCAGCTCGGAGCTCCTGCCTGCTCCCTCCACTCACCCCCACCCCACCGCCGCATGTGTGTGTGTGCGCGCACTCACAGGTCGGGAGGGTCTCTGCCGGGGCAGGGCATACCTGGGACGAGACCTTTTTTTTTTTTTTTCCCTTTTTTTTTCTTTCCTTTTGAAACCTCCTTCACCGAGGTGGCTCAGTTCAGCGGGTGTGGCGCAGGAGACCAAAAACCCCCTCTCGACGCGCTGAAGACTCGCGCTGAAGACTCGCGCTAGGCGCATGACGGGGAAGGGGGTGTGGTTTTAAAAGTCTACATCCAGCTAGCTACCTAGTATGCCGTTGATGTATTTTCGCCGACAGAGTACGGAGGAGGGGGAAACAAATGCCCGTATTGTGTGTGATTGTGCGTGGTGAAGTTGAACCGCCTCACGCAGCAAACCGAGCCAGCCTCTCGTGGCGGCAGCGCTGTAATTATCACCAAGCCTTGCTAAATAAAGTTGCATGCAGTTTGTATAAAAAACAGAAGAAGTGTTTCGGCAGAAATAGCAAGGGTTTGTTTGAGATGCAAAGCATGGAAGGGTGATGGACAGAAGACGAAATGGAAAAAGACAAAAGTAAGTTCTCCCCTTCCAGAATCGAACTAGAGACCTTTCGATGACAATGTAACCATTACAGTCGAACGTGATGAACCAACTACACCAAGGGGAGATTCAAGGCTAAGCCTTGCTTGGTATGGATGGGGACTAATGATATTAGCCTATGAATGATTACCGAGAGTCGTCGAGCCTGGTGCGCTTGGTACGTATCCCCCCCAGGTACCCAGCATCCCTCTGACCAGTGACTTGTCTCAATCAAATCATCCTACTCGACAGACTCTAATGATTTGAAGCATCCAGTAGAGCGTAGAATCGACTAAATACACTCCGTCAGCTTGCTTCCAATACCTATACAACAGAGCTCGTCAAGCAACCGTAAGTCCTAGGACTAGCCAAAGGTACCTACACACATATATCCGTACATAGCACACACATACAGGTACTTAGCAACCTTGCGCCCGTCCCACCATAAAATAAAAAACGCGGCCAACTACCGAACCAACGGCACCACACGGTGACGCAGCAGAAAATAAGATAAGACGGGGCGCAAACCTCCAAAAACGGCCCGAGACCCTCTTCACTGGGGCGGGGAGCCACCATCACTCACCACTCATGAGCCTTCAACTAAACCAGATTCAAGGGTTCACGAGTCCTTGCTCCCGGGGGGGCGAGGGCGGGTGGCCGACGGAACCCGCCCCTTATCAAATTCTTTCTTCACCCGTCGACTTCTGTTCTGGCGACCGACCGCTCCTTATCTGTCCGTTCTGTTGAAATTTGCGCGTGTGAAGGCAGACGCTGAAAATATCCCCCGCCACGCACAGAGTTACAAGGTTGTTTTGGAAAATTAAGAAAAATAAGAAAGAAAAAAGTCACGATGCGCAGCACATTCGCCCTCGGCGCCCGTCTGGCCCGCGCCGCCCCTGCACGGCTATTCCCCCAGCGCCGCTCGCTCGCCACCTCGGCGCCGTGTCTCGCCGCCCCGTCTCCGGCCCCTGCCCACGCCGCCGCAGACGCTGGCGCGAACGACACCGCCGCCGCCGCAGCCGCGCTTGGCCCGCGCTGGCTGTCCGACCTGCAGACGCGCATCTCGCGCTGCACCGGCCCCGGCCTCCGGGGTCGGCAGGCCGAGGAGCTCGAGGCGGTGCGGCGGGCCGTCGACGCCCAGTGGCTGGAGCTGTTCGCCGGCCGGGAGGGGTTCCTCACGGGCCCCGGGTGGAGGGGTCTGGACAGGCACACTGTGACCTGGGGAGATCAGGTTCGTTTTTTTTTATTTTTTATTCATGTGTCCCATGCAAGGCCCTCATGAGAACTTCCCATGAGATTTGAGATGAGATGGGGGATGAGATTTGCTGACTGGTTTCTTTTTTCGGCTTTCCAGGACGCAATGGTGAGTTGAGCCCCCCCCCCTCGGGTCCTCGTGACTTGAAATGACTGAACCGGACGGACGGACCTGTCTGCTATGAGTCCCGCGAGAACCAGCCCACTAACACACGACGCCCAGGGTACGGCGCACCGTTCAGCTTGACCGAGGCACGAGACAGCAGCTCACAGTCGCAGGTCACGTAAACAACGTCGTCTACAACAAGTACGCCGAGTCGGCGCGGTTCAACTGGCTGCGCAACTTCGCCACCGCCATCGACCCCGAGCACGCCGACGACTGGAACGCCTTCCTGTCACCGCGCGACATCGGGCTCATCATGAGGAGCATGAAGACGGACTATAAGTTTGTGAGTGCTCTCTCTCTCTCTCTCTCTCTCTCTCTCTCTCTCTCTCTGTACTTTAGAACAACATCCAATGGCCTCCCATCACTTCCCGAGATCTCTCATCGTTTGCACTTACCTCACCTCGCCGCAACACCAAGACGCTGACCGCGCCCCTCCCCTCCAAGCCGATGGCCTACCCAGATCATGTCACGGTCCTGCACAAGCTCGTCTCCAAGCCGACGTACGGGGCCGACTACATCTTCCTCGAGGCCCTCCTCATCTCCCACGCACACCGCCGTCCCTCGGCGCGCTGCTTTGAGGACATCGTCGTCTACGACTACAAGTCGGCCAAGCGGGCGCCGCTTAAGCCTTTCATGGTCGACCGGCTCCGGGAGACGTACGAGGCGCAGGAGGAGACCAGGATCACGTGCGAGCGCAAGGTCCAGGGACTCTTCGAGGCCGTGCAGAGGCTGGAGAACGCTGCATGAGATTAACAAGTGTGTATGTCTGTCTGCAAGACTGGCTGGATGGCGATGATGACTGAGTAAGATTGGTCATTAGATGGAGCGGGTGGATTGCGGGATAGACGGGGGTTTACACACATAGACTTTTACATAAGACTCGGGGCCATAGACCATAGATCTCACACGGGGATAGACTTAAACATACGTAGAGTAATAGACGCGTTCGAATTTGGGCGTTGATGGAGCATACACGTGGTGGCCCGGGTCCGATCCGCGGGCACGACGGCAAGTGGTCGGTTGGAAGTGGGGTTGATATTCTCTTGCGGGACATCAACCCCCGCGACCGGCGCGTTCAAGTTACACCATCCTCCCTTGTGAGTGACAGGAACACATACACACGCACACTATTTTGCAACCTTGTCACAAGAGCCAGCTCACCATGGGCAGCATCTCATTCCGCGAACACATCCGCTGGATCCCCGACGAGGCTAGCGAGCCGACGTCCACCATCGTGCTCACGTCCCCGCAGCGCCGCTTCGTCGATCTCCGCATCCTCAAGTCGCCGCCGACGGCCGATGCCGCGCCAGGTGAGTCCTCCTCCTCTCCCGGGGAAATGGGATGAGTAAGCCGGAAATCACGCGACCGGGGGGGGGAGTAAAGTAGGGGGAGGGCCAACCTCAACTCAAACCACCGCTGGCCGCCCCAAGGCTGACGCAATCGTCAGCGACACACGGCATCGAGCGTCTGGAATGGGGCATCGCGGGGACCTCGTCCTCGTCCATGCGCGACGGCGGCGACGGCGTCCAGGTCCGGCACTCGCGCTGGGAGCACTGGATCGACTCGCGCACGACGGAGCCCGAGAACGCCGCCGACGAGGGCGACATGTACGAGCAGCCAGACGGGCTGACCCTCGAGAAGGGCCGGATGGTGAACCCGGCCACCGGGGAGGAGACGGACTACGAGGAGCTCTGGCGGGACATTGACCCCGTCCCCGTCCCCATCGCGGCTGCTGCTGCTGGCGACGGCGGCGGCGACGGCGGCAAGGGCGGCAAGGGCGTCGAGTGCATCGTCCTCAGATTCGAGGACGAGCCGACCAAGTCGCGGGGGCTGGTCGTCTGGCTGGGCCGGTTCTGCCAGGGCATCTCGAGGATCGGGGAGGACGTCGCGGCGCAGCGCTGGGAGTGGAAGGGCGAGGACGGGTGGAAGCGGACGGCGCGGATCGGCGAGCGGGAGCTGCCCTGCGAGGCGCTCCTGAAGACCGGGGCGCCGCTGAGCGTCGGCGCGCACGTCGTTCACGAGAACCTGGTGTGGGACGTGCTTGAAAGTTCCTAAAGAGTCTTTTTCTCTCGCGTTGGGGTGGGGGATAAAGAGCCGTATCGCGGCTGCTGACCGACTGGCGCGGCAGTCCTTATGAGCGAGGCAAAGATTACAACAAAACAAAAAGCTTGTCGGCATCCTGGATAGGGTCAGAATGTCGATGAAACATAACCAGTAGAAGGCCATCCTAATGATCGGCCTTGTATTCGAGATGATGACTTGCTTCAGGGACGGCGTCGATATGCGGGCTGGGCAGAAGGAGTCCGGAGAAGTGGCCCAGAGGAGCACGGAATCACGTACCAAACCAAATAAGCCTGCCGCATTCTGCCTGCAGCCCCGACACCCATCACCCGGACGAGATGATTGGGCAAATGAGCGTGCTTCAGCGTCACGGCTTAATCCGTCTCCAACTGGTGACTAGAGAACCGTGTGAGCCGGAAACCCCTCGTCAACCTCCGTCATATATCACATAACTCTAACATGTGGAACACGAAAACCAGGGCCCGTCCACGTCCCAGCTGTAGGTACACCATCGACCACCAGGCGAGGCTCCGGCCCGGTGCTGATGCTCCTTAACTCTTCTGTGGCCGGCGGATACGAGCTCCTGCACGTCAACATGGCCCATTTTGGGATGGTAAATCAACAAGTGCAAAACTGCCTGGAACATCACGGGCAGCCTCACCACGCAGATACGCCGAGTGTTCTTGTACTGCAAGAAATCCTCGCTCCCTGATGGGGAAGTTGAAGAGCAACATCGAAGCTTATTATGTGGACGAGCCGAGGACCTGGGTCGTGTCCCGGGAGAGGGTTCATGGCCGAGTCATTATAAATGCTGCAAAACCACAGAGCCGTTCGTTTTGATAGCAACTACTCGTTTAGTAGGCTAGGAGTCACAGGACTCGGCTACCTCGCTGGTTAGTGATGGCTCGTTCAAGAAAAGCCCGGACTGAATTGCTCAACGTCATAGTTCAAGAAAATAATGACATGGGCGTACGGGCATGTCAATGTTTGGAAGCCGTCTGCTGTGAGGTGGAAGGACTCCAAGCATGTACAAGTTGTTCTCGGTCATATCATCAGGTGGTCGTACGCTGCGGAGAACTGACGTGATGGGGGGTAGTTGGCTACTTATACGTATACGCGATGCGTTAGACAGTCAGGGGGGGGGGGGCTTCCTCATATCCCAATCACGTTGCTTATTGCCAACCTATTTCAGCAAGATAAACGACTTGCTGTCCTGGACATCATTCTCAGTTTACATCAATTCTCTCTAGATATCTATTCCATTTTACCTAATATCTACGACGTCTCACCTTCCTCTTGAGCTACCTCCCAAACCAGGTCGAGGTCTTTCCGGAAGTGTACACGAAGCACCGACTCGAGGTGACAGAACGCGAGTCGAGCAAAGGATCTCGTTATAGGATGGCTCACCCGGGATATAAGAATCCTAAACCACTAACGAGAACTGCCAGGGTTATGATATCGGTAGTGCCTCTTATGCAGAGAATCAGTCTTGTCGCTAGCGATAATAGCGAGGAACCACTTGGTTTCCAAAAGGCAACTCTGATCGCACCTAGGGTTGTCTATTACCACGGGCCCAACAACAACCAAGACGACGCGGCCCAGTTCAAGGAAGGCCCCCCTAGATACTCGACCAGGAGCTTCTTGGTGCGAGCGGTCTGCACATATAGTCCGGTTTTGGTGATGGCTTTTTGGTCCAAAACGTTGGACAGTTTATATTGGTCATAGAATGGGCTGGTTTCTGTTAGCACCTGGTTGGTTTCTTCTAGCCCACCGGTCACTCCCAACAATATAAGCGTCGGAATTCTTCACAAGTGCAGTTTCATCTGGGTCGGTGTTGACGTGTACTCCGATTTCGTTAACCTTGTCCGTCTCCGGATCGTCTGAAATTCCGAGTCATAGTTCGCCATGTCAGCATGGCTGATCAAGTTGGTCTCTCTTCCCATGACCCTGGCCGATATATCGCCAATGCCTGAAGACTGGTTGGCGGCCATGGTGTAGCTGACTGGAGTTGTACGGCGCAGCCGATGATAATCCTTGGGGGTCAGGGAAGCACGGAAAGAACGTAACTGGACAACCAGTGGGGAACCGCTAGTTGGCTTCTTGGAGTTTGCGACTCGCTGTTCACGTCTGTATGAATCATCCACTATCTCGGCTTCCTAACATTACTCCTCGATATCGCCGCAGAAACCAGGCCCTCGACATCCCTCTAGTAGAAAGCGGATCCAAGGGACAAGGTCTATGTTGAGACCGGGCTCGCCGTAGCACCCACCGGTGAGGCCTGTCATACCGGCACGATGGACAAACCTGGGTGAGAAAACAAGTCTCGGTACGTTCTTTTCCATCGGCACTCTCCCTGCCGAGGCTGCGCTCTTAGACATACAGGCTGGAAATTCAGGGTTCTACATCAATTACTTGGGATGCTGTTAACCCGACGTCTTAGATTATGGGCCGCTGAGTGTTGGCGATGTCAACGATGTTCAAAATAAAAAGGTACAGTTCTCGCTTTCTTACAGGTTAAGACGGCAGCCATGTCGACCAATCCCTCTGGGCTCAGTCGAAACCAGATCACTCACACGCACTGCTAATCGTACTACGACTCCGAGAGGCACAACAGGCAAGAAAATTGAATTCAAAATGATGTCCAGCAGAAGAGAAATCGATTTCGTGGATCAAGCAATCACCTTTAGCAACTGTCCATTACAGATCCCGTTTTGGACTATATGTTACGGGGGCGGAGTTTCGTGCAATCTGCCTGTTGCCAACAGAAGTAGGCGCGGCTTGTTACGTGCTTTAAACCCTCCCGTTACAGCCTTTAACTTGGTTTTATTGCTTCTGTAGCCAAGCGAACCGGTTAAAAGTCCATTATGCTGCCTGCATTGACGACATGAGCTTGCGCTTGAGGTCTAATCAAGGGTGGATGAAGTTGAAGCCCTTTTTGGAGATTAAACACAGATGCGTGAGGCTACTATTACATATTTGTAACAAGACAACCCCAGAGCCTCCGAACACAAATGTTCTCAGAGCATTAAAGGTCTCAAGAATTCTCCGGGCTATCAAGGTTTTCATTTCCTAGACCCCTTTCCAGCGCGACGTTATCTCCGAGGAGCCAACTGCGATATTCTGGGAGCCGGCCTTCCGGCTTGGGTACATAAGTGCTCTATATAGCATCGAAGCGATTGTAGCAAAATCAGTCGCATATAGATCTTTGGAACAAATCGGCTCTATGCAGAAGCTGTTATAAAATAGGGATGGATCCTAATGGACGTCGCTCTTGGACGAACCTGAAGCAACATCCGTCGATGTGAAGCTATTGGGAGTTTTATAACAGCTGAAATTCGGTTTCATTAACGATATCGACAGTGACTCGATCAATACACGCCTTGGGGAGTTGTATTTTGCAGCATTCATGTCTGTGCTATTTCGCAGACAAACGTTCAACAGCGGTTTCTCTCACATAGCCCTCTGTGGTCGTGTTACGCTTATTGCTTCTGCGCCTGATGCCCATTGCTAACTGATGACTTTCATGGTCGAGAATTCATCGGTAACTAGCGATTATACATAATGGCCATGCTACAAAACACAGAGTCTCTATATTGTGTCATCTATGCCTTGATTCTGGGAGCCGCGGCTCTGGGGTTCTCGTCCAGGTCAACGCCTGTTGCCCTTCCGGCCAGGTGGTTCAGTTCCGGTGTTTGTTTCAATAGGCCGCTAAAATGCTGTAAGGCCAATACTCCTTGACCATATAAATATAACACCATGGCAGTGTAAGGAGATTTACATACCATAATAGAGTAACCCGCACCAAGAGGGGCGTTCACTGCAAGCATACCTGATGGCGTTCCTCACTGGTTCTCGGCCTCGATTACAGTCGAAAGCTTCAATATCTGGAAATGGAACAACACTTTAATCAGTGTTCCTCCATGAACGACGTGCCTTGGACATGATGCGATGCTCGCTTGTTGATTTCAAGACAAGTGAGCACATGGCTCGTGATGCACATTGTTATGCACTCGGATCGGAAAAGCTTCTGGCTGACCGAGTGAAAGCCCAGGTGAGCATATGTGAATGAGAATCTTCCCCTGTTTCGATGAAGCGCGGTATCAAAGACGATATTACCCGCGTCCTATCCAACTCCAAAGACGTATCTCGGACTCAGGCTACGTCGAAATTAACGAGAGAAACGGAGGAAGCAGCCGCATCTTTTTGGTGGGTTCATAGCCACTGGAGCACAGACGCTGAGAGGCGGCGAGCTCCCGGCGAGGGCGGCGGCGTCGTCCCTGTGGTGTGGCTCAACTCGATTACCGGTACTCACACCCATCACACCGACAGGCGAACGCTGTGTCTCTGGGCAATTTCCGGGCATTATGGGCAAGGCGTCCGAGGGCCCCCCGGCGAGCTTTTTGTAATTTTCACGTGCGGCGCGGCTGAATGCGCCTGGGGTTCCCAGAAAGAAAGAAAGGCATGTATAATATTGAGTGGCGAGCAGATTGCTCATCAGGTTCCGGCCGAAAGAGGATGAGAAAGTAGGGCACCTTGCTCCCCAGTTTCCCGTCTTCTGATTATCGCAGAAGTTTACCGACCTGCCGGGACACGACGCCGTCGAAAGAGCCATCTACCCATCCCATCGAGCCCTCTGGGCTGTTTGTGCATCAAGCATAACTGCCCAGGCCTCCTTAATCAACGGGCTCTGCAGACGTGCAGCTCGTATTCCCCATCGCTTTGCTTCCTCTTGCAGGTGTGTGTGTGATTGCACGAAAACTGCTATCAGTCATGCCCACCCGCCGATCGCATGACGGCGGCGTCCATCGAACAACCCGAGAATGGGGGCGTAAAGCACGGCCACCCTTCTCTCGCACACCATGTTTGTTTCTATTTTTTCTCTGGCGCCGCCCCTCGGAACCGTGCGGTGCGTGTCAATCTGGCGCGGGACGGCGGCAGCCCAAACGCGCACGTTTCCAGTGCTATCTGTCCACCATGGAGACTAGAGGGGGGGAGAGGGGCTGGGGAAGGCCTCGCACAACGGAAGGCGTGACGAAGCTTAGGCGTTACAGGTAGGCTTACGATTTCGAGGCGTCCTACGGATTTACTCGATGGGGCAGACGTTATACGGGGTGCTTGATGGTGGATGGAGCGTGGATGGCAAAGTGTTCGGGGCAAGCCTGACTGGACACGCAAATTCGAAAGCAAGGATCACTTGTCTTGCCTCAGCCCAGACCGAAATGTCAATTGAGGACTCTGTAGGCTACTACGTCTTATCCTCGAAAAGTTCCTCGTTCGCGACAATGGCCTCGAATCGTACCGACTTATACATAACCGACGAGGCCTCCCTTCCACCGCAGCTAGACGACACTTGCTTCTCCGGAGGCGGCCATGGCACATCTCACTCACGCGACGGGAAAGAAAAGAGGCGGGGGACCCAGGCGATAGGAGTTTACTGGGGAGGGAAATTCGTCAGCCAGTCCGGTCACAAGACCCTTTCTCCCCCCCTCCCCCCCCCCGGGGTGGACGGGCCGTCCGTTTCTCCTCGTGTTTGCCTCCTGATACACCGTCATCCCGCGTGCCTGATGGAATTCCGCACTCATCGGCCTCATTGGGCAGTTGTTTCCAGCGTGCCGGCTTGCTACCCTTCCAGTCTTGACCCGAACTTTTTGCTCAAGAGGGGTTCCACACACCGCGTCTCCGATCCATGCTTTCTTTCGTCCCCAGGCTCAAGGGTCCAAGGGCATACCTAGAAGAAAAGCCACCCGAAATTCATAGGCAGACGAACCATACTCCGTACCATGATGCGAGAAACCAGCCACCGCCTGCCTGGCGTCATTTGCCGTTGTCAACTGTCAATTGGTGCTGAGGGGGTTGCCAGCTGTTTCCACGGCGCCGCCAGCAAAGCAAATCATCGGCACGAGACCCAGGACGCGGCGCACATCATGCCACTAAAGCAGGGCAACGTTCGGATGGCGTGGAGGAGCCCCTGTCAATGTTCACAGAGAGTTATCGCTGGTTGCCATGGAATGAATGGATTTGCATCGGACAGCCGGGTCTCCCTGTTAACGCTCTACCACCATGTGCCATCCATCTCAGTCCCCTTTTGGTGATTCTGCCCCTGCAATTATTCCAATGTGTGTTTCCCAAGTCTCGATTAAGCATTGGATTCTCCCTCTCTTTTTTCGTCTTTCTTCTGCCCCCTCGTTGGTTCCGCCCGTCTGTTCCCAGGGTAGGTTAGGCTCGGACGTCTGCCTCTTGACAAGGGCGTTTACACTACTTGCTCGACGCCCCCTCCCGTCCACTCTTTTGGTAAACATTACGGAGTACACCACACTAGTCGATTACTCCGTATTCCTCGAAGTATTCCTTATCTATGCTAGTACCTGTCGGTATCATCCCCCCCCCCCCCCCAGTTTTCGTCTATGGGCATACCCTGTATGAATAGGCACCAAGAGAAAAGAACTGGAGCCAAAGGCTCCCTAGACATGGAGCTGGAGTTCATCGGTCGAGCCGAGAGGAGGGGGAATACCCATCCATGCCATGTGAGCGAGGGCCCATTACAGAAAAGGAAAAGATAGTGAGGGAAAGGGGAAAAAAACCACACACACACACACACACACACAAGCAGTTCCGCGCCACTTGTATGCTATTACGAGTGGCTTTCCTCTAGCACCCGTCGGCTGGGACGCTAGACTCGACCGATTCTGCATGGTGTCTTGTTGTATGCAGATTAGTGCATCTACACCTTGCAATCTTTGCATGGTCATGGCCGTGCCGTGCAGTCGTTGGTCATGGATTCGAGAGGGAGACAGGATAGACAGGCAGACAAGCACCCGGTAGCCGTAACATCAACGGATCTGCAATCCCAATCCAATCCGATCCGTATACATCGATCCAGTCTGATGCCCATCTTCCTGCACCCTCTCCATCCACCTCCAAGTCCAGCTAGCCCTCTTTTCCTCGTTTCTCGTAATTAACCTTGCCAGCCTCCTCCTCCTCCTTCTTACCTACCGTTATCCTTTTTGTCTTCCTCTCCCTCCTTTCTCCCTCAGCCTTTTCTCTTGTCCCAGTCATCAACGTCTCTGCTCGTACCGTTGCCCAATTTCGCGACTGTGTGAGCTCCCAATCCGTTCCGTTGTGTTTCGCCGCGGTGGCACAATACACAAATCACTCGTACATTCTCAGTCCTCAGGTCATAACACTCGGGCCGCATCCTTCAACCTCCTCCCTCAATCCCCCGGTCTCTTCCCACCTCCCACCAGACCAGAAGGTTTACACTAAAGCCCCCTTCTCCCCGTACACCTGCAGCCTCGCCTCACCATTATCATCATCGTGGGCACATCCAATACCGCCGCCGTTCTGGTCTCCAACATCTCGTAGCTTGTAGGGTGCGACCTCATCGCCAACAATGCGCCTCGGATCGGCCGGCCTCACGGCCCTGCTCTGGAGCGCCATCGCTACCCTCACAACAGCCAACCCCATCGCCAACAATGATAGCAGGCCCATGCCCGTCCTCCGTCCGCGGCAGGGGGGCACCGGCGTCACACCAACCCCGACCCCGACCCCAACCCCGACCCCGACAGGAGACTCGACGACGCCGACGACAGCGACCACGGCATCCGAGGAGGAGGCCACCACCACCATCACGATAACCACGACTGTTGGCGGTGGGGGCGGGGACCGCACGACGACCGCGACCACCGTCGTCCTCCGCACCATCACCACCACCATCCTCGTCACGTCGACAAGCTTCCAGACCACCACCGTGACCAGCAGCGACGTCGCGACCGCCACGGTCACCAACTACGTCACCTCGACCGTCCTTGCCAAGCGAAGCCTCGAGGTCCTCCCCCTTGACGCCCCCGTCCCGCCGGCCCAGATCACGCCAGCCGCCGATGACTACCGCAGGCGCGCCTTCGTCGAGAAGCGTGCCCTTGTTACCGTCGTCGTCACCGTCACCGGCCCGGCCGCGGGAGTCTCTACCGTCCTCAACACCCGCACCAGCACCGTCGTCTTCACCACCACCTCCAACACCGTCTTTACCTCCGTCCTCACCTCGACCCAATTCAACAACGCCCAGACGACCATCACCGTCGAGTCTACCCTGACGGTCACCTCCACCTCCATCGACACCGCCGCGCCCACCACCGTCGACACCGGTCCCACTACCGGCATCATTAGCACGCCCACGGAGTCCAGCGGCGCGCAGAGCACGAGCGGTTCCGATGATTCCGGCGGCCTGTCCACCGGCGCACAGGCAGGTATCGGTGTGGCCGTCGGCATCGTTGGCCTCGCTGCCCTCCTCGCCATCGGCTGGTGGGCCTACAAGCGCCACAAGGCGAACCGCCCCAGCCGTTCCGACCTCGACGACATGCGCGCCTACGACCCCAACGGGCCCTCGCCTCTGCACGAGCCGACGGGCATGTCTGAGGCGGGCGCCGGATTCCGCGGCGCCGGAGCGGGCGCCATGAGACGGCAGCCGGTGCCGAAGCACCAACTTTCGCCGCCATCGCAGAGCGTCAGCCCGCTCTCGAACCAGACGGTGTCGCCCGCCGGCGCGGGGTACAGCAGGCCCCCGACGGGCGGCGCGCAGGAGTTTGGCGGAACGAGGGTCATGCCTGCCGAGATGGGCGGCGACGAGGTCGTAGAGATAGGCGACTCGGAGCCGAGGGCGCAGCAGCCGTTGCAACATACGCCGGCGGCGGGGCGGCCATATAACTCGGGCCCGGTCCCAGACATGTATGAGATGCCCACTGAGAGGTATCGGTAACGCCATTGTTTCTTTTGTCTCATGCGTGTGATGTGGAAGGAGAGAAGATGTGGAAAACTGCGTATAGGATCATAGGTAAGGAGTAAGGGGGAATCATTTACCTCGATATTTCTAGAAAGCGTTACACGGAGCTCAGGTCCCGTGGATGAGCGGTCAGGCCGGCATCATATAGCCGGTAAGAAGAAGTAGAAAACCCAACTGCCTGGGTGAGATAGTCCTTCCGGCAGATAATATTCGTAATGTGTACGAAATGAAATCAACAAAGTCAGTCAACCATGCGATGTTGTGTGGCGAATCGGAGAAAATCAGATCAAGTCGTCAGGTTACATGCCATGTCAGAAGTTCCGGGGGGCCGCATAGGCGTCAAAAAGGTGCCCCGAGACGCCATGAATGAAAAGCTGTTGCGCATTTCTGACCTCCCCCGTTGCCAGACATACCTCGACGAAAGATTTGGTGTTTGCTGGGGCTGCATGCAGTTGGTGACAAGGCGCACGTTGTGCAAGATTGTCATGTCTCATAATGCATTGTGTATCGGCACTGCTCTGTTGGTTGAGTGGAAGGCAAAATGGAAGAGAGAGATGGACAATGGCAGTGTTGGAGAAGGAAATGTTAAGTTGCAATTTATGTATGTATGGGTGTGTAAGATGAGGCATTACCGAGCACAGTTATGTTCCAGCTTCGACGATGGAGCTCGGGCAACGGCAGGGACCATTTGTTCATCCCGACTGTTGTTAAATAGCCTTTTCATTTGGAAGGCTTATCGGGTTGGCAGTCTAAAACCTCCGATTTCATTGCAACCCTTCGAGGATCATCGACGCCGTCATTAACCCTCCGAGGTACGGATCGCTAGCGATGTTACCGTACCGCCTCTACCCTGGAAACTGCGGGACGCAGGCGCGGTTCCGAGCTTCTGGTGTACTGGTACTGACCCGTTGCCCGAACTCATTGGCGTCACCGGACCGAGGCCGACAAGCGTTGAATGTCGTCCTCAGCGCTTCGCAGCTCCCGATGATTGATCTATGACTGAATAGGGCCCTCGATGATTAGAAACTCAACTCTTATCAGCAAGCGAGACGCTTCAGAAGCGCCCAGCACCTTGTGTCTGTCAGCCGCAGCTCGCGGGGTACCACCCCTGACGATAACACTGTCCGAGATTCGTCCCTATGTCAGCCAAGACTACAACTGCAACATGGCCGCTCCATGGTTCTGAGAAACAAAGATAAGTGCCGTCTCTGGAACCTGCGGAGGGTGGACAGCTTGCGGACACCCAAGCCGGGCGGTGGTACTAAGTCGGGTATCTCCTACGACGCGAGCGAATTGGATGCAATGGCCGCACGTTAACGAGTGTGCAAAGTCCAACCACCCTGCAGTCTGAGTCTTAGCATCCCAGAATCTTTCCAGACTCTGGAGGGGGGTTCTTATCTGCATATTCTGTATTCTTTCTAGAGAAAAGGTCCCGCCGCCGTGGGGAAGAAGGGCCGTTGTGTTCCCGTTCCCTGCGAGTCTCCCACATGTCGTTACCGAAGTAAGACCTTTTTTTCCTGTCTCTTTGTCGCATCAACTCCTTGCAGCCTCAACCCTCGATCTTTCACCTAGACTGCTCGTTTAGCTTCTCCTTGACTCACACAAGCGTCATCTGTTTTAATCTGTCTTGTTTTTTGGGGCTCCAGCCGCAAGCTTTTTAGGCCAACCCCATAACCACTACTTGTCTAGCATCGTGCCATTGTCGTTTCCCGGCCCCGCAGACGCAGGAATTCGAGTGGCGAGAGTACCCGGAACCAGAGAGCGAGAGAGAGAGAGAGAGAGAAAACTCTTAGCGTCGTGCGTCCCGCCTGCGAAACGCTGCACCCGCAATCTCACCAACAACTTGCATTACCCTGCCTCATCGTCTTCACGATCGTCTAAGATCGCGAAAAGGGGTCTCAGGGAAGTTGTGTTTAGTTGGCAAATCTTTAAGTTGCGGTAGCCTTCGATTGAAGCTGGCCGACATTGCCTCGTCGGTGCTCACTTGCCCTTCTCTCTCAGGCACAACAATCATAATTCGGCCCATCTCAATCAACTCGGGGTTCATTTCAAGGATATTGTAGACCTCACAACTCCGACATCCCGCCGTGTCAGCGGCACCGCCAACATCATGGACGCCTCTAAGAAGGAAATGCTCGACGAAGCCGGCGCCGGCCTCAGTCCCGGCGCAAGCTCCCCAGACATGGCGGCCCGTGACCCCGACCCCGTCGACGCCGCCGCCGAGAAGAAGATCGTCCGGAAACTAGACATGCACATCATCCCGCTCGTGATGCTCCTCTACCTCTTCAGTTTCCTCGACCGGTGAGCCTATCCTCCTCCACTTCCAAGAATCTGTTGTTCCATACTAACACACTCAGCGTCAACATTGGCAACGCCCGCCTTTACAACCTCGAACGAGACCTCAACTTGCAGGGCAACCAGTTCCAGGTCGCGGTCTCAATCCTGTTCGTCACCTACATCGTCTTCGAGGTCCCCTCCAACCTCGTCCTTAAGCTCTTTACCCCGTGCCGCTGGATCGCCTTCATCACCATCTCTTGGGGAATCATCGCCACCCTCACCGGCCTCGTCAACTCTTACGGTGCCCTCATCGCTTGTCGCCTACTCCTCGGCGCCGTCGAGGCCGGCCTCTTTCCCGGTCTCAACGTCTACCTCACCTTTTTCTACAGCAAGCACGAGCTCGCTCTGCGCGTGGGCTACCTCTTTGTCAGCGCCGCCATCGCCGGCGGGCTGGGTGGCCTGCTGGCCTATGGCATCGGCCACATGGAGGGTGTGGCCGGGATGAGCGGATGGCGCTGGATCATGATCATCGAAGGCCTCCCGACGGTCATCATCGGGGTGGTGACGTATTTCGCGCTGCCCAACGACGCAGGGAGCGCGTACTTTTTGACGGACGAGGAAAAGGCCATCATGGCGAGGCGGAGGGGACGGGAGTACGGCAACACGAGCAGCGCGCAAGAGTTCAGCAGGGAGGACATGTTCAAGGCGTTCAAGGACTGGAAGGTCTGGGTCTTTAGCGTGGCGCAGTTTGGCGCCGACACAATGCTTTACGGTGAGTCTTTGCGGGCGAAGAGACCGTGGACGAGACGGTTGTTTGCTGACCACGACCAGGCTTCTCGACGTTCCTCCCGACCATCATCAATAGCCTCGGGAAATGGAGGCCGGAACAGGTCCAGCTGCTGACCGTGCCATGCTACTTCCTCGGTGCCGTGGTCTACATGAGCATGGCCTTCCTCTCGGACCGCATGCAGAAGCGTGGCCTGTTCTGCGTGATTTTCGGGAGCATCAGCGTCATCGGCTACGGTGTTCTCATCTCTCCGGCGTCGAACGGGGTGCACTACTTTGGCTGTTTCCTTGTGGCGGCAGGGCTGTACGTCGTTGTCGGGTTGCCGTTGGCTTGGGTGAGTTTGATGTCTTTTTTTTTTTTTTTTTTTGGCTCTCAAGGTGTTGAGGATGTCCTAACAACGCTTTTGATTCAGTTGCCAAACAATTCCCCGCGATACGGCAAGCGGACGACCGCTAGCGGTATGCAGCTGACAATCGGCAACTGCTCTGGTGTCATGTCATCCTTCATCTAGTAAGTTTTACCTCTTTACCCCCGCGGCTCGTCTCGGACACGTATAGCTAACCGCAGGGCACAGCCAAGCGATCGACAAGCCCAGGTACATCCGCGGTCACGCGGTGACGCTGAGTATGGTCGGCATGGCCACATGTATTTATGGCTTTATGTGGTTTTGGTACTGGCGGGAGAACAAGCAGCGCGAGGCCGGTCACATCCAGAGCAAGCATGCCGACCTTTCGGATGACGAAATGGCCGAGCTGGGTGATGATAGCCCGCGTTATCGGTACACCATCTGAGTATGAGTGTACTACGGTGAGGGGAAAGATGGTGCAAAGGGAGATTAATGGTTCAGGGCAGAAACAAGTGCACGGTGGACTATAGAAATAAAATACGGAACGAATAAGCAACCCACTAGCGAGATACCCCGTCAGAGAACGCATCTCACCTTCGGACGGTGAACGTTACAATGCAAGTTGTTCAAGACAGCCTGGGATTGCATGCTGCTTGAGCCAAGCGACCAGGGAACTCGATACCAGGCATCTCGCACAGCATGTTGCAGCTCAGACAGATTTGAAGTGACCAAGACTGGAAGGCCACAACATTTTATTAGACATATATCGGTAAGACCAACATGCTGGATCGTCACTAGAGGTACTACTCTGCTTACTCCTGCACTATTACTGGCGTGAGGAGAGCTAAGTCGACCTGGAGGGATTCGAATCATACTTACCTATCGATACGATACACGACCAAGAGAAACGTGATTCCGTGTATGTCTTTGTCCCACTTCGCGACCGCTAGGTTGCCTTCACTCGCCTTCTCTTCGATACGAGTATGCCAGCATTTGAGTCGCAACGGCTCGCGCAAAGGGTGGGTGTCTCCCTTTCGCAGTTCCTCAGTTATTCCCCGTTGAGTGCATAGTCAATCCAGGTCAATAACCAACCAAAGCAGCCCCAATCTCACCCAGTGAGCCTGCGCCGAAACAGAGAAGGATTGGGAAAGGAAAGACCAGCTGGTGGGGATGTACGGCACCGTCACACAAGTTCAGAGTCAGGGACGATACTCATGAATAGCCGGTAATTATTCAGGAAGCGGAAGGTCCAGTGCCAGCCCTCACACAAGTCAAATCATGTCTGCATTGGTTACCTACGCCGTGGCTCGTGCAGAACCTATGAGTATGATGACGCAGAAGAAGATAGCGCCATGAGGAAACAGCAAGAGACGAAGGAAAGACTACGCAGGCCTAAGACTTCATTGGAAAAGATGGCGAGCGTTGCTTTTGGCTCGACTCCGAGGGCCGAGTATCTGATAGAGGAGACGAGAACTACGGTAGCTAGCTGAGCCCGAAGTATGGCAGACCAAGTCTATCCAGGAGATGCTCCGCAAACTGCCAGTGGACATGCAGACAATGATAATCAGAAGCATTAGAAGAAGTTCCACGGTTCTCTTTAATATCATTGAGATGCTGTCACAATTGTATCCGCTGGTCATACAGTCTCTTTCTTGCAGTTCTCCACCCTGTTCTGGCAAGATCTCTTCCAAGACAACATGCAGCCACCATCATATACATCTGTCTTGCCCAGTCCAACAATCCGTCCGGTACCCCTGGTCAGAACATTTTGATATTTCGCAAACGGCTTGTAGAGACTTCTTTCACTTTCGACACACACAATTCAAGTCTCGTTCAGTCCACATCAGCAGTCCAAAAGACATATCTCGGTGGTGCAGTACAAGTGACGGATAATGAGCAGCTCGCTGGCTCACAGGAAGGCCTCGAGTTCCCGATCATAAGGAACGCCTACTATACAACGCCTGCAAGCTGAGCAGCACCTGGCTTGTGGTTAGGCGGGCCATAGATCTCGCACAGCAGTTGGGGCTGCATCGTGGCCATGCGGTAAACCTTGTCATCGTCGACTCCCAACACAAAGCGACCCAGTCAGTCATGTGACAGCCTGGTGTGTCACGGTAGATATCTGGCGCTCATGCTCGACTGCCATGACTAGCTAAAGCTTGATTACAGCGATGGTCGACCTTCTTCCTAGGGAATGTCCTTGTGAACGTCTTCAACACATTTACGGCGGCCAAGTAATGGGAAGTATCGCAGCTCAAAACAATAACGCTCTCAAGTCTCGTCACTATAAGCTTACGAATAGTATCGAACAGATGCCACAAAAGGCGCCGCAAGCGTCCATGAGAATGTGAACCCAAACCACAGCATCCAAGAATGACGCGAAGTCTGAGGACGTCCGTCCGTCTTGCAGATCCGCCTACAAATCAACCATTACAATCTCCTGATCTGTCTCCGTATGCCGTATATTCTACGCTCAATCGGCGCGATGCATCTGGATTGCAAGCAAGGCTGCCTGCGTGAACTCGGGTCGCAAACCGTTGAGTCGCTACACCAGATATATGTGTATCAACAAAGCAACGTTCTACTGCTGAAGTGTTAGCTTCTCAACCTTTCACAGCATCATTGGGATTACTCATGACCCACGTCGAGAGGTGGAACCGTAGCGCAGACATCGCAGACTGCCTCGTCCATCAATGATTATGTAATGAGCGTTGGTCGTTGGAGCCATCGACCTCGTGATGGAGGTGGACAGTTCGAGCACCGATTTCTAGCTGCGACAGGCCGCCTCCATAGTGAAGGCTCTATCGAGCATGAAGGCTGATGCTTCTTCCCGAGTAGAAGCACCGACGGCTTCTCATGCGGAAAATCCGCGGCTTCGGGCCGATAATTGCTTGCACTGCCGGCAGCTGAAGACCCCGTCGTTCGGTACCGTCAAGATAACCAGAAGCGGTGTCTCGTTGGCCAACAAGTCCGAATTGCCTTCGGTGTATAATACTAGTGGATATATCCGTCCTATCTTACAATACAGATCCAAAGTATCTGTTCACCTTGACCCCGGTCTATGCCCTGACCATCCATTGCACCGAGCCCTAGTGAACTGCTGGCTGTTCGCCTCTACAACGGATACAATATCACCATGCTAATCATCACCTCTGTTATCACGGTAGATCCACCCCTGAATATTGTCGCGCACGAATATAAGGTGGACGGGGGAAGATAGGGTGGCAGTAAGGTTAAAGACACCAACAATGGTCGCAATAGAGACCGTCTCCTATCGCCTGGGGCAGGGGAGTGGCCAGAGAGGCCGGTATTTGTAAAATATCTAGTCAGAAATTACACACTGACCATCTTTTTAGGGCATGGAAAACGCCTTCGTATTAATAGTGAGAGAAACACTGTCAGCCTGGACGGAGGTTGTGTCAAAGCAAGAGCAGGCAGACTAAGATAAAGACTACGATGCTTGTTTTCATTACCATCCCCTCGTATTTAATAGGTGTTAGTTAAATTATATAAGAGGGATATCCTATAGATTATGTAATAAATTATAATATAGAATATAGTAGTTACTTATTGTATTAGTTAGTTATAATATAAATCTAGACTTTTAGGTAGTATACTAGTAGTAAGGTAGATACTACTAAGGGAGGTAGTATATTACATAAATATTATGTAACTACCTCCCCTAAAGTATACCTACTATATACTAACACTAGTAACTTTTCTTTTATAGTAGAAGTTACTAGTGCCCTAGCTATCTAGATTACCTTAAAAGCCCTAAAAACGTAATAAAAAATTAAAACTCTAAAAGTATTACACTTCTTGTAGTTATGTGCTATGTATTCCTATATCCTCTATTTTTCCTTACGGACAGCGCAGGCTTATACTAACTTATTTAGGGGCGTTTCTCCTTAGCTACAGCTGTTAGAGGCGTATTCTTACGTTAGTTAGATTTAACTGTTAAAGTGGGCTAATTAGCTAGAAATGCACGGTCGCTTGTGGGGCAATTGGCTGTAAATACACTAGTTATTTCCTAGATAGATTTCTTTACTTAAATTAAGGGAAAATAATAATCTAGGTATTTACCTCTTACTAAAGGGCTAATTAGTAATAGCTATATAATATAGTAGTAGATATATATATAATAAAGTAATTAATTAATACAGGGTATTACTACTAATTACGCGCTTTAATAATTGAAGCGGTATCAGCTCTAACGATGCTAATGTTTCACCGCAATAAGGACGTCTGTGATCCAGCGCTCACCCTTCGTATAAGCCACTATTGTCCGCACTGCCTATAGGTATGCTCACACTCCATAACCTCGACGGAACTAGTCCCAGCGTGCAACGAAGGTTGACACTGTTCCAGTGGGAGGTGTCTCAGAGCCTCGCAAGGGCCTACTAAAGGGGAAAGAGGTGCCCGCCAATATTACTCCCTCGCCTCTATAGCGTTCAGAATTGTGTCCTGGGAGTAACTTAGCAGCCTAGACCTAGTCTTAGACTCTATAAGCAGCCTCTACTGCCTAGGTAACTAAGCTAGCCTATCTTACTAACGTAGGTATTAAGTAACTTAAATATAATAAGAAGGTATATATACGCTACCTATATAAGTAGGAAAAAGCTAAAAAAAACGTTAATAACCTTATTAACTATATATATTTAACTATTAATCTAAAGCTTAAAGTAGAATACTATAGTAGTAGTAAGCTACTATATAAGTAGGTAAAAAATCTTAAGGCTAAAGTAAGTATACTACTTTATAAGGTAAAAGATATTACTATTACTAAGTATAATAAAGTTATAAAGAGAGTAATAGACTATAAGGTTATAAATATAAAAGAGTTAGAGAAGAAGATAACTAAATAGGAAGAGGCTATCTCTAAAGGTATCTAAGTCTAGTAGTATTTAGTAGATTTACTTAGTAAATAGATCTTACTATTAATAAAGGCGCTAAGATATACCTTATTATTAATATAAGTAGAATTAAATAAACGCCCCTTTTAAATACAGGTAGAAAGAAAAAAGTTACTTTAATATAATATAATCTCTACTATATAGATAAGGATTATAGTAAAGCTAGAGTAGCCTTAGGTAAAAGCCTTATATAGAGTATTTAGCCTAGTTACTATAGTAACTACTAATAATAATAATAGAGATTAAGTAAGAAAGAAGCCTATAGCATAAATTTAATATAACAGTAGATATAACTTATATAGATTAATAGGCTATAAGATCCTAAATTACTACTACGCTAGTAGAGTACAGCTAAAGGGTAATTAGAAGCTATATAAGTATATAATTAAGTAAGTGTAAAAGGCACTTATAGATTAACGCGTAAGAGATTAATTAAAGAAGGTAAATATACCTATTACTAGCGTATTAAAGAGGATAAATAATCTTAGTGCACTAAAGATAAAGTAACTAGGTAATAAAGTAACTAATTAAT